CCAAAATAAATAAAAATAAATAAATAAATAAATGAGTGTCATGTATATTCCCTTTTTAGCACTTACATTCTCTTCTTTATTGGTGTCAGTACTTGTAACACACAGATTGTCACCTTTGTCTGGTTGCAGTACAGAGAGCTGATGAATGATGGAATTGAAAGGAAAAAAAAAAAACTGAGTTTTATAATTGACGGACAAAAGCTTGCCCCTCCCTCCACCTATTCAGTGATTCAGCCAAAATTGCCAGAGATGTAGCGTTCAACTTGTACTATGCATATATACTTAACTGTCTATGTTTTATATATATATATATATATATATATATGTGAATTGTACATATATCAATTAACACTGCCAAATACCTCCAATGTATATATGTATACATATACACATATATGTACCCTTGTCCTGTGTCTGGTACAGGGTTCTGAACTGGCTGCTTAGCCTGCCTGAGTTAGTGCTGGAACTAGAATAGACTCCTCATATACATATACATATACATACAAATAGTGCCAAGGCCACTACGGTTGTGAAGCATGCCATCAGCCATCTCTGTGTCATTTTGTACAATGTGTACGTAGCTTTTCCTAGTTTAAAATTTGGGGTACTCTATCAATGGATCAATAATATTTACACAAAATTTTTGCATTATTTTATAATGATTTAGTGTTAATTTTTGAGGTAAAATCATAAAACCCCTGTATTATTCCAAATAATCATTATCAGACAACTAGAGTATTAACAAAAGTGATATTTTTCCCCCTTTTGGTGATGAATCTGTTAGTTAATTATGTTGCGAAATGATAAAATTAATTTTATTATTTTAATTTTAATTTAAAAACTAAAAAGTGTATATACAGAGATATTTTGATCATATGTAGAGTAAGAGGTTAATGTGTGAGAGCAAACTAACGGAATGCAGTAATTTTAATGACTTCTTGAAAAGCCCAGGAAATTTCATGAGGTTTATATTTAGCAGTCTTAGCAGTCTTAGCATCAGAGGGTTTTATGTAGACCTTTCAATAAATCTGATTTTGATTCAAATTCGATTTAATAACTCAGATATAAATTGAAGATTTAATTTAATAACCTGTTAACGATCTGAATTAGATAATTCGTTAGTTAAATAAATTGAATATGAATTTTGATCAATCTAATTCGAAATAATATTTTATATATATATTGTGTGTGTGTATATATACATATTATAAAAATATTCTTATCATTATTTTCTCATTTCCTTTCATATTTTATTTATCTTTTGTTTTCTTCTAATTATTGTTTTTTATTCTCTTTTGACAAAAGTAGTTTTGATAAAATTAAGAGCCGAAAAGGTACATTTGCATTTCGCATCAACAATCAGCATATCTCAATATCGATATCAATATCAATATCATATCAGAATAAGAATAATAATAATGCAAGGTACGAATTTGTCTATTATATATGGCTCTATTCAAATTAATGGTCGTTTCAGGCCCAGTTGAAATGATGTTCGTTGACTGTAATGCAGCCAAAGCTAAAACATATACATAATTCCATAATCGGTGAAAGTAATACTAATTATTTAAAAAGATATTCTAGCTTATGATTGAAAATATAAAAAAATTTCGTTTTTTCTTTTTCGTGACAAATATATATATATATACATATACATCCATCTTGTCCTAGTGGGATTTGTACTTTCAAAGTTAAGAAAGCACTACTAAATTATTGATGCTAAACAAAAGTGAATGAAAAAAATTAAATTGAAATGATTGTTTAAGAATAAATGCGGGACGGATATGGGATGGGGAACCCCATCCCCGTCTCCACTTTGGAAAGAAGTTGTCGTCGTCATTCATAATCCCGACTCTCCCTCTTCCTTAAAAGAATGTCGATCATTTTCCACACTGCTCCGTCATATCCCTCGCAATGTCCCTGCCCCATCCCACCTTTTATTATTCTTCTATTTAAAAAAAAAAAAAAAAATTGAAAATTTATATGTATGTATTTGTTTTATTAAAAATAAAATTATAAATAAGAGGTTATTATTCATCTCGTTAAAAGACAAGATCAAAAGGGAACAGAAAAAATTGTCATCCCATCTTGTATTGCATGTACATGAAATGATACAACTCATATACCTCCTTAATATCACAATATGCGATCATCCTAACATATATATAGAAGTTAGAACGAAAATGATGGGCTTAAAACTTTTGAATTTTGGAAAAATGTGGAGCGGGCGTAATAATTCATAGTAGAAACAGAAACAGAAACAGTAGTAGTCAAATGAAAAATGTGGTCAAAATGGTGAAACAGAAAGCTTTTAGTGGACATAATGCTGTTTAACAAATGGCAGTAACTTTGAGGCAAAAAAGCTTTGGAGTCTCGCATTGCATTTAGAGTGAAAAGGTAGTGTGTACAAATCACTATTACTAGTCACAAATCTTCTTTTACCTTTTCCTAGCTACTACCATCTTTTATATATATATATATATGTTCAGTCCTCTATATCTATATTACATTACATTTACTACTATTTTATATCATTGGTTTTGAGGAAACGAATCCACTAAAGCTTTTCCCGTATCTTACATTTATGTGTTTGAGAGTTGATTGCCTTCTCATTTTTTTCACACACACACACACACACTATCTCTCTCTCTCTCACAGACACACACCCCAAGCAGTCAAAGAAAGAAAGAAAGAAAGAAAGGGAGGATGTTTATTGATTTGAGTGTTTATCATACCCAGTCACTGCACACATGAAACCAAAAAGAATATATTGTAGAATATTTTTGTGGATTGTAATGTTTTTTATGGCATGTATATATTTGTTTTCACACATTTCATCTGTATTTGAAACACAAAAAAAATAAAAAATAAAATAAAATTTGTTAGAAACACGGAATCATTTCAACAGGGACATCTATTTTTAACGCTTTATTTTGTGTTTCAACTCTATTAAAAGTGTTAGTAAAATTTAGATTAAAAAATAATAATACATCTTCCGTATGGGAGGTTGCATAATAAGATTTTTGCGAGAATATATTTTATCACATAATATAATGGAGGCTCACACATCCACTCATATAACCTTATACTCTACATAAAATGTGTTGGAAAACAAGTTACGACGTACTAGAGCACCAAGGAGCTACAGTAGTAGATGGTCCGGGGAACGTGTGTGTGTGTGTGTGTGTAGACACATGACATGGGTAAGATGGAAGCACATAGTCGAGGCTGATAATGGAAGGAATGTGGGAAAAGGCCAAAAGAAAGAACCCAATAACCTAAAATTCTCTCATGTCTGAAGCAATGCCCCTGTTGAAGTTTGTAGAACGCATGCCCTATCTAGCTGCTGACACACTCACAATCGCCTCTGTTTACACACACACATACTCTCTCTCAATGTGTGTGGCTCACCTTTTCAAGCTCTCCCAACAGGGATTCTCTCTGCTAGTGCAAAACCCATCACTTTTTCCCAAGTGATAGTACTAGAGAGATTCTAATTGATCATACTTTCTTTGATTATCTTTATGTTCATTTTTGTATGTATAAGTAAAATCTGCATGGGAATTAATTAATCAAACACCTGCCTGTTGTTGAGATGTTGTGGGCCCACTCCCACTCTAAATAGTGATGATTGCAGGTGAGGTGGGTTGGGACAGGGTTTGCTTTTAGCTTTGTTGTTGTTAATCCCCTTTTTTATTGGTAGTAGGGTTGAGGGAATGTCTCTTTGCTTTGTGCTTCACCTCCTCTTCTTGTAAATTCTCACTTTCTATCTTTGTGCTTCCTCCACTTGCATTGGGACTGGATTTTCACCTTTTTGTGTGAATTGGAGGAAACAACCTAACCCTAATCAATTCTTTTTTAATGTCATTTCACTTTATCACACACTAATGGGTAGGTTTGTAATGATGGGTTATCATAAAAGTAGTAGATATGTGCTAATTAAGTTTATTATTAATGGAATTTTTAACAAAGGTGGGTGGTTGTAATTTGTACAATATCTATAAGGTCTGTTTGGTATTTTTATTGAAAATCATCAAAATTACAACAACACAATGGCTTGAAATTTTAGTATTTAAAAAAAAAAAAAAAAAAAGGAAAAATGAGTAGAATTGAAACATATTTGGGAGTATCGTGCTTTGAATTTAGAATTAAAATAATAATAATAATAATAATTCGTACTTAATTTTAAGTTCAGTGCCACCAAACATTGCATCATATTTTGATAATTCATCTCTTTTTACACTTTCACAAGTTGTTGACATCAAAATAACTAGTGGATCGGCACCCAATACTATTATTTATTCAGATCTTGTTCTTCGGAATTTGCATGTGATTGTAAATATTCAGATTTATGTTACATATAACCACATAATTTACGGATAATTGTAAATATTCAGATTTTATGTTATATCCGCGTAATTTGCTGATGATTGAAAATATTCAGATTTGTCGTAGGTGCAAGAATGAATGTGACTATTAACATGAAGTTTGATTCGCAACAGTAATGAGACATGGAAGAAAGAGACTCGATGAAATTAAACAAATCAAAACCGTGGGCTACCCTTCATCCATGGATTTCATATATAAAATTATGAATTCAACCAACCATGAAATAGCATGACATTTTAAGTGAAAACAAAGACCCATTTCTTTGTAAATGAGGAATAATTATTATTGAAGTTTCAATTTGAATCCAAGACTTTACTAACAAATCCACAGCTGATACTAAAAAATTTCAACCATTATTTATGCTCAGATGAGTTCAATTGCTTCTATAAATAATCGATTAAATTAAGATAACAATAATTTTGAACCTCGTCACAGAGAAATTGACAGAAGACTGCCGTGTAAGTTAATTGGTTCAGTTCATCGAGGTTGGAAATTAAAATAAAATCACAAAAATTGTGTCATATCAAGTAAGTAACATTGATTTTTTTGCCATACCAGCCCAGGAAGGGAGTCTAGTGACAAATAAAAATAAAAAATAAAAAAATAAAAAATAAAAAGATAAAAAGTGATTACATATTTATTATTATTAGTATTATGGACATAAGCCAAAAGGAAAAGGTTGAGAGAAGATTATACAGTCATACAAACAAATCAAAGGGGCGGGAAGCCCCAACCACAATTCAGGAGTGACACCCATCTGTACAACAATTCTTCCAATTTAAAAATGGACATATTATACAAATGCACTGAGCAATACCTTTATCATGTAAACAAAATTCCAAAGATACACACCTTCACAAACTATTGTTCAAGTCGATCATTGTGATAGTAGTAGTCGAGAAAAACAGTTAATCCTGCAAAAATATATTCGAACTATATTAGCACACAAATAAACATAAAAATGATGACGAACTTATAGATGTATTCCATCCAAGATGAGGGAGTGGGGAGGAAGATTCAGTTTAGTAATCACTTTGTAAAATGAATTGAAAGAACTTGAGGGTGATGCAAAGAAAGACAATTCGGAAAATGTTACGTTGATCACAAAGAAAAGAGAAAAAATCAAGATAACAGGCAACATCATATAGTTTTAAATACAAATAGAACAACATTTCTATGTTTAAAACTGCTGACTATGACCTTTCATCTTTACACCTACAGCTTCCTTCCCCACCTTCTTTCCCTCCTCTTTTTGGGGCAAAAGGGAAAAAGAAAGAAAGACCACAACAATGTTTATCTTGGGGCCAATTCTTGGTAACGGTGACTTTAACCTGGTGTTTGTCTTGCCAATACTTGTGCAGGTGGTTGTGAGCACTGGACTACTAGATACAGACATAACTTTTGCTATTATTTACACAAATTTGGCTGCTCTGGAACTCCCACCCACACTTTCTTTTCTTTTTCTCTAAGTAACTCCACCCTACACTCCACACCTTTGACAACCAAACTTTTACATTCTACCATGAAATTGCCCTCACTAGTTTAATTTTAAAACACATTAACCATGTTTCATTACTTTAAGTTCATCCAAGTCACCACCTTTGAAGTTTAATCTAGGTATGGCTATGGTAACAATGCAATAGACTCCTCAGAGATGAAAGTGCCCAATAGACAATCAGATGCTATTATTTAAAAAATTGAGTCCAATAGAAGCAACTCTAGCTTCTCCAACTCCGATAATCTTTCAAAACCTGCAAATTAATTATATTAAAATTTCAAAGTCACCATGCCCAAAAAATCCAAAAAATACAAAATAATAATAATTCAAAATGTTTATAGTAATACATATAGTAATACAGGATGGTCCCACCAATCATAATTATTATTGGTCAAACGAGTCATCATTGAAAAATAGGTATTCTTTGTCTAACAAAAGAGCTCCTGCAAATTGCAGTGCTAAAAAATAATACACCGTCCCTCTTTTAATTTTTAGATTCCCATAAATATTCCATCTCAAAAGACTAATGGCAAAAAAAAAATTATATTTCCTACTTTATTCATCTTCTCACACACATTAAATTGCCATCTTTCCTAATTTTTCAATTTTCCCATGCACGTTAAATTGCTAGTCTACAATGTTCCTTAATTTATATCTCCAACTACTTGTAATTGTCTCATACAAAATAAATTGTCATCTTTCCTAATTTATCAATCGTCTTATACACATTAAATAGTTGGTTTACAATGTTCCTGAATTTCAACTATCTCCAACTCTTGCAAAGACTTTGACAACCTCAAAATCAAATGAATGTTGCACATTTAATAGGCTTGATCATTACATATCTATGCACCAAGAGTGCAGAAATCAAGATTTAGTGCATTGAATTATACAAGTACAATTTAAATTGAGAATGCAATACGCTACATTAAAAGCACAATACCCTTGCAATAACGATGTAAACACTCATGTACACATTTACTTCGAAGATGCAACACTCATGCAACATATTACATCGAAATGCAACATTGCAATACCATTAAATTGAGAATGTAACATCATTACATCATTGTTGCAACCTCGATTTAATGTTTGATACATGGTGCTGCATTTTTTGTATAATTGTAACTATACCCAAATGTGTAAAAGAGAGGATCCTACATGAGGACTCCAAAAGTGTCCTAACTCCTATTTCCTTCTCTAATATACAATAATGCAATATTAAATAATTACTTAAACATCTAGTCAGAATATTTTTAAAATTTTAGATAATTACCTTTCACCCCTTTTCAAGATTATCTCAGAATATTTTTACGTGTCAACCTGATAGATATTAAACATCTTATCATACGGGCCTAAAGACGACGGGTTTTCTCATCCTAACTTCAATTGGATAGTGATTGAGTTATCTCATAACTTTATCCTATCCAATCAATTACAATGATTACTACTATTTATTGTAATTGCACTCTTAAGATTTGGAAATCTCAACAATACCATGTCCTACTAAATAATTGCATATAAGTCCCTACACTACCGAACATCCACAAGTAGTCCCAGGAAAATTAGATATTGTCTAGCCCCAGGAAAATTAAATACTATCTCACTAAAGGTTTACTTATATGTTGTATTCCTTGAGTAACCAATTTAAAACCTTAAAACCTTAAAATAAATATTTTTCTATATAAATAATAGAAAAATTATTTAGTAAACATGTTACTAAAATGACATGGTGGTTTCAATAATCAAACTTATTAAATAGCACCAAAGGGATATTATTTCTCTTATGAAGTACTATTTATGTTCCCACAGCTCCAACGTTAGCCACCCAAGATACCGTGATGTTGACCTTAAAAGATCTCACACATTGGTAGGTTAAAGTAACTAACACTGAAACTCGACAGCACTAAACCTCTAAAGAGTTTATGCATTTAGTAAATTTCAGGTTTAAAATTTAAACTTTATTCCTTCTGGTACTTTTTACTTTCACTAAAATGTTGAATAGATTGCTTCGAAGTCTAGCCCATATGTTTGTTGTATTGTATATGAGAGAAGGGGTGAAAGGTACAAGTCATTGACACTTCTGGAGTCCTCTTTCAATGTGGAATAAGCAGTTCTTTGTGATCAAATTCTCTTAACATGTTGGATCCTCTCTTGTACACATTTGGGACTAGTATCATTCAGTGCAATTAAACAAAAAATGCAACATTATATATTAACATTAAATCAAGGTTGCAACAATGATGTAAAGATGTTGCATTCTCGATTTAATGGTGTCACAATGTTGCGTTTCGTTGTAATATATTACATGAATGTTGCATCTTCGATGTAAATGTATGTATGGGTGTTTACATCGTTATTGCATAGAAGCATTTTTTGAGAAGAAGACTCAAGACTTAGAGATATTGTGTTTCTAAAGTAGGGTATTGCATTTTCAATTTAAATTACCCCATGTATAATCCAGTGCATTGAATCCTGATTCTGCACCGTCGGTGCATAAATATGTAATGGTCAAGCGTCTTAAATGTATAACATTTATTTGATTTTGATGTGAGGTAGTCAAAATCTTTCCAAGTAGTCGAAGATATTTCAAGTTCAGGAACATTGTAAACTAACAATTTAACATGTATTAAACAATTGATAAATTAGGAACGATAGCTATTTAACTTAATCACAAGTAGTGAGATGGAAATTAAGGGACATTTTAAACTAGCAATTTAACGAGTATGACAAGAATTACTCATTGTTTCTTCCCTTTAAAGAAATTATACATACAGATTTGAGTGGTCTCTCGCTTGCCAATTGGATTGAGCATGAAGGTTGACCGAGTTTACAAATTATCAAGTTTTCCCCCCTCTTAATTCCATTCTTAGGTTTTTTTTTTTTTTTTTTTTCCTTTCCTTTTTGGTTGGATTTCTCTAGCACGTTGACTTTGAAATTTCAATATAATTTGTAGGTTTTGAAAATTTGTCGGAGTTAGGAAGGTAGAGGTGCTTCTACTAGACTCAAATTTCTTCAAGCATCCTATCATCTTTTGGTGCACTTTCTTCGCAAGACATTGTTGCATTGTTATCACAGTCATGCCTAGCTTATTCACTAAATCCATATACTAGACTGAATTGAGGACATACCTAGCTTGTTATCAAAAAAATTATTTTATAAGATTTAAAGCTCAATTATTTTGTCCTACTCATCAAACCTTCTATCCAGATAGAACTGTATATATAACCTTAAACCACAATATGCAAGAAGGTAATACCACAGAGTATTCAAAATTACTGGATTCGTGAAATAAAGTTCATTACCTGTAATATGAGTCATCTTGATGATTGCCGATCCCACAGGACTTGCTCGTCAATCTTGCTCAGCTTCTCATCATCAAGTCGTTTCCATGTCTTGATCCACTCGACTCCCGTCCATGTGTTATCCCCTTTTCCAAGTTGTGCCAATATGACCCTTGCTCTCCGTCGCTGTCCAGCCTTACCATAACCATGATATCCAAAGCCTCCACCATAACAAAACCAAATACCATCTAGGTTGCCACAGAAGTCGTTGTTGTGATCATGACCTATGAACACAGCCTTCACATCTCCCATGGAGACAAGCGTTCGTAGGACTCCAGAATTAACCAACGAACATGCTACATATTCTTGATACACTCCAACTATCTCTTTAAAGTGCCTTTGGCGAATTTCTGGAATTGGAATGTGGAAGAATGCCAGTGCTGGGGGTGCACTCAGGACTGAAGAAATGTCTGCTGATTGATCATTTTCCCGATTTTGGACCTGTCAGTGTGTGACCTGCAACATGTTAATGAGATCTAAATCTACCAAACTGCACCTTGTTACAGTCAGGAAAAAAAATGGCTAAGGGCAGTAATTAATCAATGACTAAATAGTCTAAATTCAAGCCATCATTTGAGTTTGTTTTGCTGGTATTTCAAAGTAACTCGGGAAAAGATCAGCCATTAACATCCACAGAAATTAAATAAATCTAATGACATTTTCACATTTTATTATAACTCAAGTCAGAGTTGTTCCTTACTTCTCTGTATCTCTTCTTCCGTCTATAATGAAATGCAACAGAATTCTGCCTTAAAAAAACAAAGCATGTCATGATTGTGCTGGCATAGTTGAGTCCACTGTACCTGAGATATTTTAGAAACACCACGGAGCCAAAGAAGTTGAGATTCCTTAATCCATCCATAGGTTCGAACTCCTTCAACAGTAGCTCTGTCTCCGCTGTCAAGAAAGTAGAGACTGAGGATGCTGTTGTTGGCCAAATGGGAGCCCGGCGCACCCCATACTCTAAGATTATAATTTCCAAACCCATCAATGTTGGTTACTAGCCGTTCTTTGGCAGGTTCAGAGGTATCTTCAGCTGAAGGGTTGGTTTGTGAGACTGAATAATCCATAAGGGATATGAAAGACATCAATTCTTCACGAGTCATTGTAGATTCTTGGTCATGGTTCCCCAAAACGGCTGCCCATGGGAGTCTAGATTCTATGGCAGGGGCAAAAGCTCCAAACAAAGATTCTGCAGCATCAGTAGCGCTTGGACCAAATATATTATCTCCTAATTACCAGTACTGAACAAAATCAGTCACGCACGGATATAATATATATACACACGCATTTTTTTTTTTTTTTTATAAGTGATATATATACACACAGACACATACAGAGGGATATTTACCCTTCTCTAAAATCAGAGAGAAACGAAACAAGAGATAAAGACAAACAACAAAAGAAAGATAATGCGACTCTTTGCCTCCCATAAAATCATTTCACACACTCCCTGGTAATAAGGAAGCTGTCTAAAGGTCATCATTTGTGTAAACATAGAAGCAAAGAAAATTCAGACCAAGCTCCAGTTCAGTTTGACATGATGGAGATATGTAACAATATGCATGGATAAACATTCATGTTCATGAATGAAAACAAAAAGTTCTTTTTCCACCATAATCCCTTCAGTCCTTCCAAAATATCCCCATGAACATCTTCTTTTTTTCCTAGTTAAATGTTTTTATGAACTTCAAATTAGGTGCATTTGATTTGGACCAATAATCTTTAAAAAATTAGAAAATTATCCTTAAAATACGTCACCAAACAAATCCTAAATTAAAAGAATTTTCACATAAGCAAAGACAAAAACCATGACAAGTAGGACAGGGTATATTAAAGTGTTGACCGCTAAATCGGCAAGCTCTGAAAATGTGCCACAACTAATATCTGGTTCGAATTTGTAGACAGGTGGTCAAACACAGTCTCTTTTGAGAAATCATGTAAAAAGGGTTTGGAAAGAGAGAGAACATAAACTCTTATGGATTCTATTTGCCTTAATTAAAAGGACTGTCTAAAAAAAATGAATTAATTGCACAATAAATAAAAACCAAAGTGGACTGAAATTGCAATAGGAAATTGAATGCGTAACTGAATTATAAATTAGGGGTGACAAAATTTGACACGACCTGCCAACACGACTCGAACACCACACGAGACCAAGTAGATTGTCAACATAACACATAACACATATCCATCTTCAGTTAAGAAAACAAATACTTGCACATGTAATTCTACCACCTTTTTCCCAAAACAACCAATGGTCATATCGTTGTCATGTGGCATGCCAAAGTTGAGTGTCAACATAAAGTCCCCTATAATATCGTGCATTATTAAGACATGCTACCAAGGTTTTAATGTAAATATGGATAATTTAAAATTTTAAGGTCATCCATTGCTCTCAACAATAAGAATTAGACCCTACTCCCCCACAACCCAGTAATATTCCATGACAACTCTTCAACTATTCTGGTACAATAGCTTCTGCAAGTTAGTTTGTTAATTGTTGCTTATTAGTTAAAGTTTATAAGTCTCAAAATATTATCACAAGCAATGAGAATGTTTAATATGATTGTACAATTCTAAATTTAAACCAAATATCAGCTATAGATAATATATTCACGTCCTCAATTTCTAAGCACAATCTAAATAATTCTCAACGTCAGGGAAACAAAGGTGCTTTGATGCTAACAGATGTAACAACAAAAAATAAAATAAAAAAAAGGAAAAAGGAATCTGTTTGGTTCCTTTTTATGAGAATAATTTTCTATTTTCAGATAATAGAAAACAAAAAAAGTTTGAGAATCACTTGAGTCTTTTTTTAAAACTAATTTTTGAAATCGTTCATATTTTTTTGGTCCCGGCAAAACACACCTGGGCCTTAATTTGCGTCAATTAAAACTATGGTGTATTCTTCTTAAGTTTAGAAATAAAATGAGCAGAAATAAATACAAATTCAGGCCTTAATTTGCGTCAATTAAAATGTCTTGCCCAAATCTATATACAAATATCATATGCAATAAATGTTAATTTGTAGGAACATACACACACACACACACACACACACACACACACACATATATATATAATAGATTATGTGTGATTGTGTGTGTCTTGCATCCATAAAACTAAAGTACTAGGGGTGAAACTTGGACGGTTCACCCCAAGCCCAACTCTATTTTTAATGAGATTGGACAACCATTTCTACAATTAGGGTTAACCTAGAACTGAAAAATCTCAATGCAAACTTAATTAGAGTTGGGCTTTGGTTGTGGGATTAGCAATTCGAACCCAAAATTTAACCTAACTTTTATATATTTATAATTAAAATATATTATATGTACTTATAATCCTGGCCACTTTTTTTTTTTTTCTTTTCAATTTATTTTTCTTTAAATTTTGATCCAGGTTTATTACTAGTTTGGAAATTTTTCTTGAGATTTTATTTACAAGTTTTAAATAAATTTAAATCAAATTCTTGGATTTTTTTTTTTATGCATAGATAGAAGTAACAAACCGAGACTAACCAAAATTTTAGCCTGATTTTTATAACTTGGATTGAGCCTGGGTTGACCTCCCAAAATTGCACCCCTACTGAGTCTCCTATCTACATGACTAATTTTTCAAAATATAAAATGGAGACCAAAGAAATTGTTTTCCGTGTAATTCTCCGTGAACGTTATTCTGTCCAAATAAAACACAAACGAAACTTTTTCCTGAAAAATCTCCACTAACTAATAAGGTAAAATACAGATGACTGAAAAAGTTTATCTACCATATACTGAAACAACTAAAAACAGTCAAAAAGGGCAAAGAATCATTCATTACCTGTAAAAGCAATGAAATCAGGCTTCTCAGCCTCAATCATCCTCCTCAGAAACTGAGTCGTGTTAAGATCGGTGCAACGATCGAACTCGGTTTCCAGGACGTCTCTGCACCGAGTCACAATTCCATTCCCATAGTGCATATCAGCCACCTATTCACCACATCCACTATAAAATCATTAGCAAAATTTTCCCGGAAAAAAAACAAGAAAGATTCATTTTCTAGGAAAAAGAAAGAAGAAACCTCTGACCTGGAGGATCTTGAAAGTGCCGTCGGAGCGGAAATGTAGAGGAAGATCTGCTTGTTTCTTGAGAATTACTTTCTCGTGTCCTAGCATCAATTTGTCGAAAACTAGGGTTTGAATAAGGTATAGAAAGAGCGCTATGAAGGTGAGATAGAGAAGAGAGTGAATCCATGATTTTCCAGATCCAGACTCCATCTCATCTCATCACCTTGTTAGGGAGAATGGAGGAGAGACATAGAGTGAGAGTGCCTCTTTCTCACCATCTTCATCTTGGTTGGTAAAGTCTTCACTTTTATTACCAAATAAGGCGATAAATAAATACAGTATACATGTAGATATACACATAAATAAATACTATATGTGTGTATTTATATAATTATGTGTGTGTGTGTGTGTGTGTGTGTGTGACTGAAACTGTTAACTGTTTGGTTAGAACAAGTAAGCTTAGCATGAATTTCTTGTAAGAACGGGTACGGTCCTCTGTTAATTGGAAAGTCATGACTGTTAATATTACAAGTTAATAATTTATACGGTATATATTGTACAGAGTAATAATATTTCGTACATATTACGCGGTGATAATATTCATTCTCCTTTAGGGTGACGATTTCTATTCTTGATTAAAATATATATATGAAGGAGCTTCCGGAATAAGTGAAAAATGAATGAGTCAGAGTTTTACAAATAATTTGAGTTAAGCTGGACAATAGTTCTTTGTTTACTTAATAGAAAAACAAAGTTCAAATAATTATTTCAAATTCTTTTTATAAATAAATCAATCCCAAACATCTCTAGATTTGTTAGTTTTAAATACGCTCATAAATAAGTTCTTTTTGAACTCGTAAATGTGTGAGTATATATATATATATATATATAAATATATATAATAAAGTAAAATGTTGGGTAAAATCTATGTTTTACTTACAAATGTTCATTGACACTCCTCCAGACATTTAAAATCATATGAAATTACTTTTTAACCACTTGACTTGTTAACAATTCTATTTAAGTAATGAAATTACTTTTCCATCTCTTTTATATCTATAAATATGGTTTATATATAATAATACTTATACCAACATAACCACAACCACAACATAAAAATAAAAATAAAAAACAAATTTTTTTTTTAAATAGTAAGATAATTGTAAACCACCATAACCACCGCTACAATATAAAAAAATTTAATTAATTAATTAAATTAAATAGCCAGATAATTATACACCACCATAACCACCATCACAACTTAAAAATAAAAAATTAATTAATTCTTAAAAAAAAATAGTTAGATAAATATACACCACCATAACCACAACCATAACATAAAAATTAACAGGCATGGTCAACCCATACTTATATGTGCCAAATGTCACTAGAACCACCACCACACCAAAACACCAAAACGACGACACCACCACCACCATACCAAAACAACACCACCAACACACCCAAACTCTACCAGAACCACCACCACCACCACCATAATAGAAAAAATAAAAATAAAATTTTAAAACACCCTGATAACCTAGACATTACAACAACCACGAACCATATCACAATAACCACCACCAGAGTAGAAAAAAATTAAAAACAGCCACTGCCAGCCTAAACCCACCACAACAGAGAAAAAAATAAAAAAAGAAAAAAGCAACCATGTTTGAGATTGGGAAGAGAAAGAGGGAGTATCGACGGTTATGTACTAAAATGAACCCAAAAAAAAGGGTTAAAAGGTTAAGGTAGAAAAAGAAACTTAATGACAGGGTTGTTTTGTCAAATAGGATTGATATTTTGTAAATTAATTGAATTAAATAATTAGGAACAAATATGACACTTGAAATTACATAAATGTTATTGCTAAAAAAGCCGTTGACCCTAATTTAAGTGACATGAATCAAAATCTTAGAAAGTGTCAATGCAATTTATTCTAAAATATATTATCCATCATTTAAAAAAATGTAAATATATAAGCCAAGTCCAAACAAATTAAAACAGACAAACTGAAACCCATATTCTGGAACCAATCTGTATAAAAACATTATTAACCTCTCATGTGATCTCAAATTGTCAATGCAACTAGTCTACTCTAGTTGCTCTCTCTAAGCCCCAAAATTTTGGGCGACCGATGTAATGCCTTTGTTGCTAGCTAGGAAATGCTAGTCTTTGGTTTGGTATAAGGTTGGTAATTTGTGGGACTCGGATAAAGAATAGCAAAGGATATAGTAACATATAACAATAGTGTTGCGGGCATGACTGGGCCCCACTCTTTACTATTTCTTTTTATATGTAATTTATTTTTATTGTAAAAAAAAAAAAATTATAATTTATGATTTTGATTATTTTATTTTATTCTTTATTTTCAAATAAATATGTATGATTTCTATTTCTTTGTCTTTTGAATTTTTTTTTTTTTTAATTTGTCAACAAATATATATGAATTTTTTTTAAAAAAAATAATATTGTTAGAAATGGTTTTTTCTATTTACTATTTCCTTTTATATATAATTTAATATTATTGTAAAAAAAAATATTTATGATTTATGATTTTGATATTTTTTTCTTTAAAATTTGTCAACAAATATATAAGTAAAAAAATTTTAAATAATATTTTATTTATCACAAACATAAAATATGAAAAAATACATTTTACTCAATATTATTGTTAAACTTTTTCATTGCTAAATTTATTCTACGAATGCTCCATGAGATCTCTCCTGAGATTCCCATTGTTTTCTGCATTGCGAATCTTGTTGAAGTGAGTGGAGATGTGTGTTGCAAAAAATGATCGGTCTTGATGATTTTGTGGAAGGTGGACCGACTCATCCATTGGAGGTGTCATTTCCAAAATGTTTGTGTTACCCTTGTCTTCTATGATCATATTGTTCAATATGATACACGTTCTCATTATCTTACTCAGATCTTTTTTTTTTCAATAATATATTGGTCTTGCGTTATAGGCCACCTTATCTGCAACATACCAAATGCCCGTTTAACATCCTTCCTAACGACTTCTTGTCTTTGAGCAAACAATTTCTCTTTTTATAGTAGTTGGGTGCAAGATGGTTTGAATCAAAGTTGTACACATATAGTATATATCATTAGATAGTTAATACCCAAACATACAGTGATGTCCATTCACCTCGTAATTAACTGGAGGCATCATATTATTAATGATAAGATTGAATACTAGAGAATGATCCAAGAATACTGAGGAATGATCAAAGAAAGCATGTCAGATCCACATATTTTTTGATACAACCGCCTCAAATATGAGGGTAGGCTTACGACCTTTTCCTTGCGTGTGCCATATCATCCTTTAGGAACAGATATGACATTTAAACTTACAAGAATGTCATTGTTAAAAAAGGCATTGACCCAAATTTCGGAGACATTTAGCAAAATCTTATAAAATGTTGATGCATTTTAATCTAAAATATAACGTCAACCATCTAAAAAAAAATGTATATATATATATATACACGCCAAGTCCAAACAAATTAAAACAGACAAACTGAAACCCATATTCTAAAACCAATCTATATAAAAACATTATTAACCACTCACGTGATCTCAAATTGTCGATACCTAGTCAACTCTGGTTGAATCTCTCTAAGCACAGAAGCATCGATCTCTTTTCTCTCCATTATCATGTCAAACCAACCCCAAGCAATGGACGATCAGAATTCACATTAGTGGCTCGTGCATAGGTGACTCACGCGATTGCCTAGGGTCTTATCAATTAAAGGTGTTGAAAATTTGTGAGCGATGTAAATGAAAGATCTAATTCTCACCAAAAAAAAAAAAAAAAACAATTATGAGAAAAGTTAATTCTTCTTAAAAAATATATATACGAGAAAAACTATATTAAATATAAGTTAATATCAAATTTTTATATAATATTTTAAGTTCATATTTTTTCTCTATTCAATACTTGATATATTACATTTTTTAAATAAATTTAACAAATTTTCAATTTGGGTATAAAAACAATCGTATTATTTTGGAAAAGAAAAAAAAAAAAAAATTTGGGATTCAACTTAACAGTTAAAAAAGGGGTAATAATTATTTTTTTAAAAATTAAAAATTAAAATATATATCTAAATTATAGTAGATCACATCAATTAAAATTAGAACTTAATTTATCCTTTTATGGAAGGGGAAAAGTATTGTCCTTCAAAAAAATATAACAGGATGCAACATTTACATCAAGAATGAAATCACACTATTGATTGATCAATGGTTGCATTTTTGCTTTCGTGACAAGGCATGCTTTGAATTCAAAGTGTGACATCGGCCTCACATATACATTGGTGATATAAGCAAAAGTTAAACGATGACGTTACTTTATTACTTAAATGAAGAAGACTTGACCAAATTGGAGTCTTCCTCTTCCTCTATTTACCAAAAAAAAAAAGGGGGGGGGGGGGGGGGGATGAGACTTGAGAGAGAGACCAAAAGAGTCTTCTCCTACAATGAAGACCATCACATTGGTCTTCTCAAAAGGGTTAAAAAGGTTATTCCTTGTTATTATAAGCACCATGACTCATTTTTAGAACTTTTTTGCCTCCTCTGTTTATTTCAAGTGTGTAGATGATGTATAAGAGTTCATAAATTGTTTAAAAGAGGTATAAATAGAACTAACGATGTTTATTAATTTAGACCTAAGAAAAAACTGTTACCGTAAACCCCTCTTAAACCTCTCACAAAGTATGAAATTAGCTTTGCGTGATGCTGATCAGTCAAGATGTAACATGTGTTCATGAAACTTTTGAACGACAATCGTCCGAGTCACGTTTGTGACAGTAACAAATTCTCCACCAACCTGGATGACTCTTTAGCCATCACTGGACGGTCAGGATTTCTCTAGGGAGCAGCTTAAAAGATGCCTGCTTCCCTGGTGGCTAAAATGTCTTTAGCCATCATTGGACCCCACTTCCTCTATAAATATTCCCACATGTATGTCCTCAATAGTCACACACACAAAATACAACTCAATCTTCTCACTAGAATCACTCCAAGATAGCATTATTGCCTCCCCATATTCCAACTCCCCAATTCACACACACCCAACAAACAAACCATGGAAGACCTTGGTGACGAATACAAACATTACTGGGAAACAAACATCTTCCTCCAAACTGAAGAATTTGACAGGTAAATTGTCTCATAAACCCCTCCGAAAATTTAAAGTTCTCTCTTTGTTTGGATCAAGAACCATTAGGGAGTTAATTGGTGATTGGTTTTGATTAGATGGGCATTGGACGAGCCGATTTCGGGTTACTCCGATTCGAGTTCCCCGGACGGAGCAAAATCGTCGTGGCCGGCGTCGAAAAATATAGTCTCGGAAAGGAACAGGAGGAAGAAGCTGAATGATAGGCTCCTGGCACTAAGAGCAACAGTCCCCAAAATTAGCAAGGTGACGCAATTCTACTTATTAATAATCATAATATGCCCACTTGAGATAAAGTAATACTATTAATGGGTTAGTGGACTCATTTCTTTCGTGCACTGTATGTCACGCATTACATTATTAATCATTGTTTAATGTCCGTGTCTTAAAATTGGAATTGAAATTCGTATTAGTTCAAATTTTAAATTAATTAATTTAAAATTATTGTGTGATTAATTAGATGGACAAGGCATCGATAATCAAAGATGCAATAGATTACATCCAGGAGTTGCATGAGCAAGAGAGAAGAATCCAAGCAGAGATATGGGAACTGGAATCCGGAAAATCGAAGAAAAGCATGGATTTTGAGTTGGATGAAGAGATGCCCATGAGATTGAAGAAGAAGAGAATGGATGATAATGAAAATGGGTGTAGAAGAACATCTCCGATTGAAATTCTTGAAGTGGGTTTTATGTCTCTTTCTTTCTTTTGTCTTTCTAGGAATATATTGATTAATAAGTGTATTTTTTTTTATTTTTATGTATGATTGGTTAAGTTATTGTTTTTAAATACAATAAATTAATGATTTGGTGGACTAATAAATAAAGTATGTAATGAAATGGCAGTTGAGGGTGTCTTATATGGGAGAGAGAACAGTTGTAGTGAGCTTGGCATGCAGGAAAAGAACAGACACAATGGTGCAGCTGTGTGAGGTTTTTGAATCATTGAAGCTCAAAATCATTACAGCCAACATCACAGCTTTTTCTGGGAGGCTTTTGAAGACGGTCTTTGTTGAGGTCTCTCCCTCTCTCCCTCTCTCTCTCTATATATATATATATATCTCTCTATATATATAACTCACTCTCTCTCTCTCCTCTAAGGTTTTGTTTATCATTTGTTTAGATAAAGTGAAAAGAAAAGAAAAGAAAGAATAATATTTGTTATTAAAGAAAAAAAGAAAAAATATATATATATTAATAATGTCTATTTATATTTGGATAAATTACTTAAAAAAATAAAAAAAATTATGTATTCTAGTTTGAAAAAAGTAAAGGAGAGAAAAAATAATAATAATAATAATAATAAAATTATTATCATACATTTTTATAAGATGAGACTCAATTATAAAAATATTACTTAATCACTGTATTTTCTTTTTCTTTCCAAATCCATAGAGCCTAAATTTTTACATTTTTTTATATAAATTTTCTGGTATTTACGACTTATTTAACAAGAGATAAAGAACTCAACAAAAAAAATAACATGGAATAAAGTAATACGAAATAATTTTTAAAAATTTAAATTTTATTTTATAATAGATATGACTTATGATAAAAAAGACTGAAAAAAAGAAAATTCTAACCGGCACTATTTGTACGGAATAAAGATAAGAGACTGCTGATATTTTAAGTGATAGTTATAAATCAAATTTGTTTGATATATATTTGAATTGAAGGTGTTTGATGTTCCACAATAAATAAAAGTTTCTTTAGCCTTAAAATTTTAGTCTAACTTAAATAGTACTTATGTCTCAAATGATTTAGTTATCAAACATATTTAATTAAATAATTAATTAATTTAGTCAAAACTTAATTTTTAAATTGAGACAGAGGCTCCCACTAAATTGTTGATTAAGTCTCAGAAAAAAATTAATTTATTGCTTTTTAAAATTGTCGCTCTCAAATAATTATGTGATGCGTCAAAAATCAAAGCACTTGAGAATTGAGATTTATTTTAATCCAGGATGGAGAAAATGCGTGGTTGGTTTTTCACGAATATAAGAGTTCATTCGTGGGTGGTCCGAAAATGACTCGGATTGTGGGGTTTACGGGGAAAAAAGCCACTTTAATAAAGTGGATTATGCGTTCCTTGTGAAAATAAAAACATTTGACACAAACAAGACCCATAAAACGATGTGTCCCATTGAATTGATTGTGCTTTTTAAACTTTATAAAAACATTTGATAACTGAATTTACTAAGTAAGCTAATTTATTTAATTAAACATATTTTTTACTCTTTAATTTTTTTCAGGCTGATGAGGAGGACAAAGATGATTTGAGGAAAAAGATTGAAACTGCCATAGCAGCTCGAAATGATCCAGAAAGCCCGATTAGCATCTAATTCCAATTCAAGAACCTGCATCTACAAATCTTTGTAATATGTTTGGTAGTATGGAATTCGTGGCTTCCTAATGCACTTTAAAATTGGAGAAAATTCAACTTAAACTATAAATGAAATTTTTTCCCAATTTTAAAACAAAGCATCAATTCGTCATCCTTGAAATTGTAATTTAGTTATGGGTTCCAAACTACCAAACATGATGTTTATACAACGGATGAATGATTTCTCACCATGAACTTTCATGTTTAATAAATTAAGATTTTTATTTTTTGTTGATATTTTCTCTTTTTTATTTTATTTTATTTACTCGATGGAAGAGTCTTAGCTTTGCTTTTTGAGAGGATCTCAACAAATGAATTTTTTTAGTTTTTGGTAATAATCATATTTCATTGTCGTATGATGTATATATATATATATATATATATATAAATTGTAAACCTCCTGCTTTCTTCATAAAATTTCAAAGCATCCCAGCATAGTTTTATAGCTTCCACATTCAATAATTACCTTCGCATTTTGAACCCATCATAAAAATGACACTTTTTTTTTTTTTTTTTTTTTTCTAAGACAAAAAATATTAGAAGTTAAATTAATAGATGCAAAGAGTCGAATCTGACAATCCAAAATTCACCGGAGCCACTAACCATTGACTAATAATTTTTCTAAAATTAATTACCATCATCCTCTCATATAATATAATTGCATTATTATTATTATTACTATTAATTTTTAACTTTCTAGAGTGTCCCACTGTGTTCTGTACAACTACATCGAGTACGACGGTGGTATATAATTCCTTTAAAAGAAAACCTAATTGAGAGGGACTAGGTTACTAAAGGTAGCACAAAATGTAATAGAAATAGACTGAACATTAACATTATGGACCAACAATATTGCCATCAAAAAGAAATATAATATGCAATACTAACAACAAGTGAATTCTTATTAATGCTACAATCAAATCCATGAAATTCGTCTTCTTTTTTTTCAGAAAAAAAAATAAAAATAAAAAAAAAATAAAAATAAAAAAAAAAAAGAAAGAAAGAAAGAAAGAAAGATTACAAACTGAGGACATGAATAATCCTTTAGCCAACGTAGGCACATGATTTCAACTCTCAACATCTATCAAACATCCATTAATTTAAAATTCAATGGCAATCAAAATGTTGAGCCGTTAAACCCGAAGAACGAGCGCTGCACCCAAAATTAAAGCAACATTATCAGTTAGTAAATGAGCATAAAATTGCAAAGTTTAGATTTTAAACTAAAACATTATCAGTTGGCACAGCATGCAGATGGAACAATTTTTCTATTTTTCCTTTCAGCACAGATAGGAACATGCACATCCCACTGCCTCTCGCATATTTGTCTCACTAATGTAGGCATGCAAGAGTATTTTAAAGAAGACTGTCTTCAAACTCAACTCATGTGTGAAAAGGGGTTTCTTCATAAAACCCGTAAGGTCCGTAAGGAAGAGGAGGAAGATGAAGAAAGAAATTGAGCACAATTCAAGATTTGTCTTTTCGATAGTTCCTCACCCTCCATGATCAGTATGCCCATAATTTAACTTTCTCAATGACTGAGCCAAACATGTTTCATGCTACCAAACGCTAGGCAATCATAAAATGATATACACACACTCTGGGACAGATTGGGCTGCTTAGAGAGGCTCTACATACAAACACATATGATAACAGCCCTTTTCCCGTCATTTAGATTCTTGCACTTTCAAATGTGCTCGAATGATATGTTAAATGGACAGCAGTATGGAGCATATTCGGTGTGTGCATGTCTATCTTGGTGATGGATTCATAGTTGAGTTCCCAAATTTTTCTAACCAAAATCTAAGATAGACATCCATGTACAATATGCAACAACAAAATTCTACGTGTATATTTACTGGTATTAATTTTGGTGATGTCCTTGCAATGTGGAAAACGAAACACCAGAATTCTACGCATCTTGAAATGTCCATGTAGTAGAGGAGCATATTAAAAGAAATTACATCATAGGGAAGCTATGGTGGATTAAAAGTTGTCTGTCTCTTAGTCAAACAAGTGGATCGAGTCTGAATCTAGTGATGGGCATGTTAAGCACATATCCTATACGTGTCTTACCATGAGATGGATGAATGACGATATAATGGAAGACTATTGTATATGAAACAAAAGCTTTCCTTAAGGTAGTTCATGTTGTATAACAAAGCCAATCACACCACCAGAAAACATAAGAGATTTGACTCAAGTTGACAGCAAAAGAAGAAATTTAGAAAATATGTTGGTTGAGAAGAGAGATAAGACGTGATAACCAATAATAAGCAAGTGTAATGACCCATAAAGAAATGGATGACAAAATAGATTTAGTGTAACCAACCCAAATAGTCAGGAGTTGGGACCCAAGTCTCTGTTGAACTAAGTTGTGTTCACTAAGTATTCATAGTAAAAGGTTGTGCAGTGAGAATCATATTTTTAACTTAGTTAGATGATATGGCTGGTTTTCTTTTTCTTTTCTTCATTTTTTTTTTCACTGGCAAGAAATGCGCACACACCACTTTGCCCCTTCGGGGATTCGAACCGTCACCATCCACTTTGGGAGGTAGAGGAGATTTCATTAGGGCACAAGGCCCTTGATTTTCTTTTTCCTTTTAAATGAAAGTTTTTTATCCTAACTAAAGGTGATCAAACCACCACTCGTAAACTGGTTTTTTTTTTTTCCCTCTACATTAATCAATCACCATTACTCTCTAATAACTTAAATATAGGAGGAAGGTTCACAACAAAGCTCAGATATGATTGGCTGAAAGGTCATACCAAAGCTTGAAGCTCGTAACTTCACCTTGACAAGACTGAGTTTCGCCTATAGTGGATCCCCTCTCTAATTAATAGCTCTATTCGTTGAATTAAAGTTGGAGATGAAGATCATCGTGTGATTCAATATACAGTAAACAGAGTCAACATACAAATTTTAAGGTACGAAGCTTGAAATTTCAAGAGTTTTTCATAAATAAATAAAAAATTATAGACAACATAGAAGTAAGCTTTGACACCAATTCGTGGAGATGATGGTGGAAATAGTGGGGATATTTCATCCTTGCCTTTATCCCATATAAATGGGGCTTAGACGCATATTTTAATTAAACTAAGCAGATAAATACTTAAAAACAATAGAAGAGAGATTTCCTTTGCTTTAATCTAATGCAAAGAGAATGACAAATGTGACTGGAGATGCTGTTTCTGAAAGCACTCTCACATAATGTTTGAAAGAAACATATAGCTTATTAGAAACAAATCACACCCAAAATATAAAAAAATAAAAGGTGTAGTCAAATTACTTACCTGAACATCATAAAATTTGATATAAAATCGAGAACTATCGATAGAAAGCTTGGTTTGAAGAATATCTGCAATGGTTGAACTCAATTTTCCACTAACACTTGGTCCAAGGCCACCAATGGAGATCAATTCTCCATATGCAGCCGGCTCCTCAGTCCCCGCAAATGCAATTGGCACTCCTCCATTCAGCAAAATCATCACATACTGAACAATAGAGAAGAAAGTAAATAATTATATGCCATTCCAACTTGATCAATAATAGAACTTGAAAAAAGATAAAGAACTCTGTGAAATAGCAGAAATTGCATAAAGTTTGAACCAGTAAATAATAGTCCATATCTATAGTAAGTGAATTACCAACTACATGTCAATACTCCTTAAAAACAGTAGTCAATGTATCAAGGCATGACCTCAGATTATTGACCTTCTCTCGGCAAGGAATTCCAGCTGACTAACATAAACATTTATCCTTACTTACTGTGGTGTTGCGTATTGAAATAAATTATAAATAAAAATGCTTTATGTAGTTAAGTATGTAAGTATCAATATAAATATATCTGCAATGGGAGCAAGAGATAGAGAGAAAGAGAGAATCTTATAACTTGATTATCATATGATAATTTTTTCTTTTATTTGATTTACAACTCCCACAGAATAGGGGACATGAAAAATAAAGTATATTTCAAGAAGAAGAAAGGTGAACATACATTCAAGATAACACATCGAACTTAACAGTTCGTCTCTTTCATCTCAAAAATTACAGCAGTGGTGCAAAGTCTTAAAAGTGCATACTAGTTATCACTTATCAACTTGCACGGCATTTGCTCTAATTGTTGAAAGCAAAGAAATAAATCTACCCAGTGAAAGGAAGTTACGGGATAAAAATTAGGAACATTTAAGATTATGAACCGATTGATTTTTTGTTACACAATTGAAATAATTTATAAAGGGGGCACGTTTTACATGTCCAAAGTTCCAAACATCTATAGTTCTCCAGTTTCATCTGTTTTTGGCCTGCACAACATCATTATAAGGACCATCTAGTGGTCTGCTGCACAACTTAAATGAGTGAAATCTCCAACGGAAGTCAACCCCATGACCCATGTAACTAAACAACATATATGAGGTCCACCTGGGTGCCTACTGCAGTGATGCCTTGGCATCCCAGTTGATTGTCTAGCTAGGCAATTGAAACTAAGGAGACACCTTGACACACTGACCCCGGAAGATGCAACTAGATATTATAAGAAGATTAGTAAACCAAAATCCAATGAAATTATTACATTCTACCTATATATCTATAACAAAACATAAAGCCATCGCCAAATTTAACGCTAAAGTCCCATCGCCTAATTCAACACTAAAATCTAAACATATTCACCTTTATAATATCACCTAGTTGGAAAGTAAAAAGAATTCTCCAAACTGGTTTGGGGAAAAACATTTTGAATCAACTACACTCAATTACATTCAATATTACCTTGTTACTATTTCTTTGATATGGAAAGGGTAATGGTAATGCATTGTGTATTTTCCAAATTGTTCATGGAATGACTAAACACTCGTACTCTTAACCTGGCATGTTAATTGTGGGTGCCAAGTAACATTACCCTTCTCACTTGTTAGAACAACTCCAAAAAGCAATGAAACCCTATAAAAAGAAACTGGGAAACAAGAATTACACAAGAAATTAAAGATGTCTGATTCACACCCGAAAAAGTAACTCAGTATTATCGAGTAATACATGTGTCAGTCCCCAAGCATCCAAACAGCAAATAAAAAAAATAAAAAACAAACATACATGAAAGTATTATCAACTTCTGTAATAATAATATTAAAAAATCTTACATATAAACCAAAATTCAGTATAGCAGATTAATGAAAGAAAACCCAAACAGAAAAAAAACATTCAATTTTTCACAGAGTAATATCATCAAACAATTGATAGTCACTACAACAACAACAACCCATTACAGCAAAAAATGGAGGGATTGTTGGGAAATGGAGACTTACAGATTCAGGCTTGCCAATGATCTTAGAAACAGCTTTAGTGGCATCCCTGAGAATGTCAGAGGCAATCACAGTATCTACTGGAATATTGGTGAACAGATTCAAGGTGGGCATTTCTTCTTCTTGTTTATTTTTCTCCACAGAACACTCTTCTCTCGAGTAGATAGAACAAGAGCTAATCTTTTGGGAAATGGGTGGTTGTTGCAAACACAGAATTTGTCGATAAGTGAATGATAAGAGCTTTCTAGGCTGTAAAATTTCCTAGGTCGATTCAATCTAATTTTTGCTCTTTTCCATTTTACGTTTTGAGCAATTGTGTCACGGGGATGCACGCACCGTGAGCTCACACCTTGATTCGACCGCTACGAAACACTCATCGAATGGAAGACACGCGATAACACCCTGATTGTAACATTTTCCTTCTGTATTTTGTACGCAGTTCAGTTCTTCACCTACATTATTTTGAGTAAATTACACTCACCTCCTTGCAATTTGGACAACTTACATTGTAGACCATTGATTTGAGATTTCAACATAATTCTAACATTTTTTTTCCTGTAAATATGTCAACCAAATTTATAAAATGACAATTTTATTCTTTTTTTAGTATTAAATGTCCATGTAATTTTTCACATTTCCATTTAAAATCTCAACAAACGACTTTAGATAAATTTAAAATAATAAACGTTGAATGGTATAATCATATATAATTTGTCCAAAACTCTGAAAATGTGAGTGTAATTAATTATTATTTTACACGAGGATTTTATATTTTGCTATTAAAATAGGGAGAAAAAAAAAAAGTAAAATTAAAGATGTGTTTGTTTGGATGTTTTTGTTTTATATAAAAAATATTTTTTAAAAAAGATATTTTCTAATTCCACTAAGTATGGTGGTGCAGACTCGTCACACCGTTGGTGGACAAATTTTCATTAAAAATTAAAAGTTCATAAATCAATTGTAATGTATATTTATGATAAGGTTAAGTGTAAAAAAATCTCTCGTATATAGGGTTTGTGCAGAAATAATTCTTACTTTTTGAAAATGTGCATTTCAGTCCATAAATTCAAAAAAGGTGCAAAGAAGCCCCCTCTAACCACTTTTTGGTCAAAATTGACATTAAATAAATTCAAAAACCCTATTTTGCCCTTGGGTTAAGTGCAAAAAACCTCCATCTACTATCGATATAGTGCAAAATAGTCCATGTGTGGTATAAAACCCCCCTTATACTATTAATTTGGTGCAATTACCCTATATTTGCATAAAAGGACATCGATACTTTCTCTAATATAAATGAAATGATTTAAAAAAAAAAAATTAGGCAATATAAAATTACCATTTTAGATAATTTATTCTTTTCGTTTTCCCTTTGTATTTGGTTGATTGATTTGTAGGTCATGGTGGTTAAGGTTGATCATGGATCAGATTGGTTCGGTTTAGGGGTAAAGTTCAATCTAATCCGATCCTTACAGATTGGTGAAATTTGAAACCGAACCGATTCGTGGAGACCTTCAATACGAATCAAATCGATCCATGAAATAACAAATCAGATCGGTTTAGTTTCCACGCATTGGGCTTTTCAAACAGCCTAATATGATTACACTTTCTAGCCCATTAAAATCTGAAATTAGTAATTAAAAACCTGTAATGACTTATGACTTTGGTGACCTAAGGTTAACTTAAAGTCTTCAATAATGAATAAAAAAAATATAAATACAGTAAGTACGTATATAGTTATATAATATTAATATATAATTAAGGTAACGGATCGGATCGGTTTTTTCAGGGCCCAATCCGTTAACCGAACCGCGAATAACGGATTGCTATTTTTTTAAACCATCACCGAATTATGAGATCTGAAAACCGAATCGAATCACACAGATCGGATTGGTTTGGACCGGATTGACGAATTATTTGCTCACCCCTAATGGTGGTGGAGGGTTCTGTGACACTCCTCGATTCTAGAGCCGAGGGATACTAAACAATTAAGTATGTAAATGAATATAGAATACAAAAGAAAGAACTAAGAATAAATAAATAGCAGAAAAGAAAACTAAATAATAAAATCCTCAAATGAATTATCTAAAACCTTATATCATTACAACTTGGGAATCCATCTAGTGGACCTCTAATGATCATCCAACTGAATCAATCTGAAAACAACCATAATCATAAACTAAAACATAAATAGAGTCCTACATAGAACTAGAGGAATGATGTGGACTATCTGTACTTAGCACGAACCAACTCTAGGTCTGGAACTGACGAACACCTGAAAAATATAAAAGTGGGTCAGGCCCACGAACAAATTCTTTCTACAACAACCCAAACAGAGACCGAAAAACTATACATCTATAGCTAACCCATACAATAATTATATATTCCATAAATATATAAATATATATCCACACTAAAGGACTCTCAGTGGACTACAGGCTGGTCTCAACCTGAATAGAGGCAACATGCAAAACGCACCCGAAGTGGACATGTGTACCTAAACCTAACAGGGTACACCTCCAACCATTATAACCAACTATGCATCCCAATGCATATAACCATCGATTCTGAGACTCAAGCTCATCTCGAGGTATCATAACTATATATTTAAACTCCATCCAAACCAAAGTAGTGCCGCTCAACTTTTCGTTGCCTTGACACGACATAAGTATAAGTATCCAGTAATTCAGTTAGTCATTCAACTTGTTTAGTTGACCTGACACAAATATAAGTAGGACTTAACATTTTAATCCGTTCCCTTATATAATAGGTAGGACTTAACTAATAAGTTAATCCATCCCTAGAGTGCCACCATCCCATACTGGTGCACTTAATCCACGCAATCCAACAATTGATGTAATAATTTCAAGAGTACATCACATAATCCAAAGTTAAATATAATAATAATATTATATCATGCTAACACAAAATAGGACAACTTATAATTTATTTAAGTTTCCTATGTCACATATCCAACACATACTGAATCTTAAACAGATTGCTATATTTTGCTATACAATCACTTAAGCATTCTCCATACTTTGTTTAAAATTTATTTAAATCATTCTTAGTCCTTATTTGATATTTAGGACTCCACAAATCTAATTTAAAAATAAAACAACGTTGTTTCCGAGATTTCACCAGGTAATGCTCAAGCTTCTGTCTCAATTGCTCGAGCACCCTATCCAAGGCTTGAGCATCATACTTCAGGCTCAAGCTCTTTATCCCAATTGCTCGAGCTTTCCTTCTCAAGCTCGAGCTTTACATCCCAAATGCTCGAGCTTTATAACCAATTGTTTGAGCTTTACAGCCAGTTGCTCGAGCTTCACAATTAATTGCTCGAGCTTTTCATCCCAAGGCTCGAGCTTTGCCCTTAAGGCTCGAGCACTGTAACAGCGGTCCGAACATTGTTACGCGAATCAACCCAGAATTTCAACTGTGCATTAAATCTTTATTTGTTTCAGGAATCCTAGGCATGTTTTAATGTTCCATCTATATACAGATAAAACAAAACATCATCTGAAACATGCAATAAATTCACAAAATAATCAAATCAAATCATGAATTTAACAGTTTACACAAGAACAACCATGAACAAATAAGATGTATAAAACCTAGTTCTAGATCAATTAAAACATGGATTCCAATTTTATTAATCTTTTAAACATCCCTAAAATTATACTGGAAACATATAGGTTACAGATCTAAGGAGAAGTGTAGAACAGAGAACTTGCCTTTAGGATTTGATAAAACCCTAGCCTCCTTCTTCTTCTTACTTTTCCTCCTTCCTCCTTCTTTCTCTCTATCTCTAAAATAATATACGTGATATATTTTCTAACCCCTTTTCCAACCCTATAAAGACATATATATAGGTTACATATAAACCCTATTCCTTTTCCCAATCCACATCCAACTAATAAAGAACAAATAAAAATTAAAAAAAAAAAACTAAAAAGATAACTAAAAATATAAGTTACGTGTAATCTATGTATATTATTCTTATCTAAATAAAATAAATACACTAGATTATCCCCAAAGGACTTTTTCTAAATATATATTATTTAATTATATACACACACACACACACACACATATCCACTATCCATGGGTAATTATCCATACCCATTAAACCCGTTATCCAAGTAATCCATGGAACCCAATTAGTTGGCCATGACTACTATCCATAACCCTAAAATAAAATGAATTAAAAATAAAATAAAATAAGCAACCATTTAAAACATTTAAATTCCTAACTATTTATTACAAGAAAACCCAACACATAATTAATTAAATAGTATAAACAATTAACAAATAGCCAAGAAAATCAATTAAAGAATCAAGAACACCATTTATAACAATTAATAAAAATACCGAGACTATCCTTTTAAAATTATGGGTATTACATTCTTCCCCACTAACGAAAGGAATTCCATCCTCGGAATTCACCTTTACCTTCATCCATTAAGTCTGGAAAGGTTGAGCAAAAAACATCCTCCCGTTCCCAAGTAGATTCAGCCTCATTGTGATGACTCCACTAGACATGTACCAAAGGAATGACCTTATTACTAAGAATCTGATCCCGACGGTCGACAATACGACACGATGGTTCCACATAGGTTGCATCTGGTTGCAACTCAATCTCACCAACAACAATATGCTGATAACGATCTTCATCGCGAAGAAATTTTTACTCAACATAGAAACATGGAACACATTGTAAACACGATCTAAATGGTCCGGAAGTGCTAAATGATAAGCCACCGCTCCAATTCGATCCGTAATCATAAAAGGACCGTCAAAACATGGTGACAACTTCCCTTTCTTCCCAAAGCGCATTACACATTTCATAGGAGACACTTTGAGTAAAACCTGATCTCCCACCTGAAATTCCAAAGCACGAGTACAGCGGTTTGCATAACTCTTATGCCTACTCTGGGCAGTGCGCATATGATCCTTAATAAGAGCAATCTTTTCAGAGGTATCCTTAATGAACTCAAGACCCAAAAATCTGCTCTCACCAACCTCCATGCAACAAATAGGAGACCGACAAGGTCGGACATATAAAGCCTCAAACGATGCCATACCAATAGTCTTCTGAAAACTATTGTTATATACAAACTCCACAAGTGGTAAATAGTCCTCCCAATGACCCTTAAAGTTAAGGACACAAGAATGAAACATATCCTCCATGATCTGATTAACCCTCTCAGTTTATCCATCAGTCTGAGGATGGTAAGCAGTATTAAGATGCAACTCTGTACCCAAAGCCTGCTGAAAACTCTTCCAAAATCTTAACACAAAGCTCGAATCCCTATCCGATATAATAAATAACAGAATGCTATATAGCTTCACAATATCTGTAATGCAAAGTCTTGCTAACTGCGC